TTTTTTTGAGACAATGTCTCACTCTGTTGCCTGGGCTATCGTCCACTGGCATCATCATAGCTCACTGCAACCTCAAACTCCTGGGTTCAAGTGATTCTCCTGCCTCAGCCTCCTGAGTAGCTGGGAGTATAGGTATGTGTCACCAGGCCTGGCTAGTTGTTTTTTGTTTTGTTTTTTAATTGTTTTGTAGCGACAAGGTCTCCTTGTTGCCCAGGCTGGTCTTGAACTCCTGGCCCTAAGTGATCCTCCTGTCGTGGCCTCCCAAAGTGGTAGGATTACAGGCATGAGCCACTACACCAGCCTCTAGAACACTTTACAAAGAGTAAAGCACTTCAGTGGTATCATTTTGCAAATTATAATTGATAGGAAAAATATAAAATCACTCTTTAAGTTCATTAGAGAGATTATTTTTACTTCTCACCTGAGAATAGAGAGATTCTTTAGGAACTCCTACTAGGCAACATTTCATCTCGCTTAAATCACACTGGGACTGTTGTTTCCTCTCCCTCTATCCAACCAGAAAACAAAACAAAAAATTTTGCTGGGCAGTTGGCGATTTTCCTCCTACTGGAGGGAGGGGAGAAGTGTCTAATTATTGAGTCTTGGTCAGAAAGGGATGAAGGTCCCAGGTCCTCACTGAACTTTATTCATAATTAATCATAAAAGCCATTTATTCTGCCTCTGAATTGTTGAGAATTGTTTGTGTTCCCTAAATGAAAATAATGGTCCAAATTAATAAAAGTTTACTATTCCATTTCTCTTATTGCTCTCACTAGAAAAGGGGAATGAGCAAACACAAAAAACAACCAGGCAACTCCACGTAAGAAAACAAGATAATACAAAGGTATTCAGCAAGTGAAAAATAAAAGAAATAGGTTAATATACAAAAGTTCAAATACTAGCCTCCTTTCTATAGGTAGTTCAATCATTAAGTAAATACTGTCATCCCTCGGTATCCACAGGGGATTGGGTCCAGGACCTACCCCCAGTCCAAACTCTGGGGTTGCTCAAGTCCCTTATGTACAATAGTATAGTATTTGCATATAAGCTATGCACATCCTCTGGTACACTTTAAATCATCTCTAGATTACTTATAATACCCAATAGTGTACAATGTAAATGCTATGTAAATAGCTGTTATACTGTACTGTTTATTCATTTGTATTATTTCTTATTATTGTTTTATTGGGTTTTTTTCCCCCAAATATCTTTAATCTGTGGTTGGTTGAATCCACAGATGTAGAACCTGCAGATATGGAGGGCAGACTACACTTTAAATGTAACTATAAAAATAAGCATTTTCTGTAATTTTTCAGCCTGCTTTTTAGGAAAGTACATATTTAATGTCAATTCCCATGTTAAGGAATTACTTAAGCTTTCATGTGTGCCTCAACGTGAAATTTAAGCAGAAACCCCTTTCTAAGTGTATGTGTAATAATTTAAATGTCCTACTATCCTTGGTGTATTGAAGCAAAGATATGGATATTTCTCTTTGGAATCTACTATTGGCCTTCACCTTATTATGTGAAATTCCAGCTGAACACTGAAAACCAGTCTGCTTCTCTATGGCTGCTCTCATTTCCTCCACAATCACTGCTCCAACGGTGAGCTGCAGGTCTGGAGAGGCCATGTCATCAAACCGGAGAGAATGAAGCCATTGAAATAAACCTTCTTTTCGCATCTTCTCTGAAAAAGGTTGAGAGGTCACATTTAGGCATTTTTAAAAATCATTTAATTGTGCTACATAATGCAGAAATGCTTAGATTTTCAGATACTTTACATATGCAGGTTTAGAAGACTACATGGCAACCAGTTTAGAAGATTGCTTGCAAGAGAGATTAGTTTCTCCTTCAGACCACTTCCAGAAGCCTCAGCTTCAGCACAGGCTAAACGTTTTTTTGCACATTTTCTTTTTTCTTAAGAGATGGGGTCAGATCAGGCCCGGTGGCTCATACCAGCAATACTAGCACTTTGGGAGGTAAAGGTGGGAGGATCGCTTGAGGCGAGACATTCAAGACCAGCCTGAGCACAAGCAAGACCACTGTCTCTACAAAATACACAAAAATTAGCCAGGTATGGTGATGCGTGCCTGTAGTCCCAGCTGCTCAGGAGGCTGAGGCAGGAGGATCGCTGGAGCCCAGGAGTTTGAGGTTGTTGTGAGCTATGAAAACACCACTGCTCTCTAGCCCAGGCAACAGAGTGAGACCCTGCCTCAAAAAAAAAAAAAAAAAAAAAAGAGAGAGAGAGATGGGATCTAGCTAGGTTGCCAGGATAGACTCAAACTTGAACAACTTGAACTCCAGAGTAGCTGGCACTATAGGCACACAACACGCCTCCATAAGGCTGAACCTTTTGGTGCTAATATGCAACAAATATTTTGTATTAATGTTATCTTTCACGAGCAATGATTAAAAAATACATTTTCTCTCCGTAGTTCTATTGCATTTTCTTCCTTGTACTTCCCCTTCAACATCTCCAAGAATTCTGTTGTTATTCAATTAGAAACTATTCATAATTAATTCAAGCTTCAATATAAACTTAAATTAGCATTTACATACTTTTAGAGGCATGTTCCAGTTCAGTAGCTTAAAATCCATTCAGAGGCACTATAAGATTTATTCTCCTGACAAGCTGCTTTAAGTTAGATGTACCTTTGGACTCGGGGCCTTGAAAATATTTCACTTATGCTGAGTACATGTAAATTTCTATTTCTACCCCCAAACTTACTTAAACTCTAATCCCTTATCTCCGCCTCCCTACAAAATAACTCTTCTCGAATTTTTCATTATAGTTTCAAGCTGAACATAACTAAAATCAAACTTACATCTCCTCAAAGGTTCTCTTTCCCAACCAACTCCCTATTTCTATTAAAGGTTTAAAATCCAAGTAATATTGGCTTCTTTTCTTTCAATCCCCATTATGTAGCATTTAGTCAACAAGGCCCACTTCAAAATATTTCACATATCCATTGCAACCTACTCTATTTTATTCAAGTTTTCTGTATTCTTTTTTTTAATGACAACCTTGAAAAAGACCAAGGTTTTTTATTCGTGCCTAGACCACCTTACCTCATAAACCACCCTCTCTCTCTGAATGCATTCTGCACAATACCCTCAACTTAAGTGTCTTTAAATACCAATGTTAACTATCTTATCTGCTGTTCAAAACTGCCATTACAATTTCCTGAACATACCACGTTCTACCTTAAGACATCACTTATTCTGCCTCCCTGCTCTTATTTCTTACCTCTGTTCTCCTCTCCTTTGCTTAAATATATCTTATCTATACTTTAGGGCTTATCTCAAATCTCATCTATCATGAAATCCTCTCTTCTGACTATTCTAGCTAATTTGGGGTGCCCTGCTAAAGTCCTTTAGCTTACTAGCTTACTAACCATGTGACTCTGGGCAAATTACGTAATCCTTTAAGCTTCAGTTTCTTTATCTTCAAACTGCAACTCACAGGGTTGCTGTGAGGATTAAAAGATATATCTCTTTATGAAGCTCCTTGGCACAGTGCCTTATATATATTAAGAATAAATACTATTATGACATCCATTATTTAAAACAATCTATTAGTATTTATTAGGTTTGGGAAACATAAAAATATTAATAATTTTGTGTAATTGTGGGTTTTTCCAGACTCTTTTTTTTTTTTTTGAGACAGTCTTGCTCGCTCTGTCACCCTGGATAGAGTGCAGTGGTGTCATCATAGCTCACTGCAACCTCGAACTCCTGGGCTCAAGCAATCCTCTTGCCTCAGCCTCCTGAGCAGCTGGCACTAGAGGTGCTCGCCACAACACCCAGCTAATTTTTATCTTTTTAGTAGAGACAGGGTATCCCTCTTGCTCAGGCTGGTCTTGAACTCTTGATCTCAAGTGATCCTCCCACCTCTGCCTTCCACAGTGCTAGGATTATAGGCAGAAGCTACTGCACATGGTCTAAGACTCTTTTTAAACAGAGCTAAAGTTTCTCTGCTTAGATATTTTTCATCATTACTCTCCTGGATTGAGTAATGTGGTAATCCTCTGTCACCCTATATCCGTATCAATTGAACAGGACCACAGAAGATAAGTGCTTTCCCTTGTTTTCCTACAATGCTTTTTTTATACCTCTTTTCTAGTTGATAAGAATAATCAGTGAAATTTT